AATAATCGGTACAATCTTATTTTCTTCTTTTTGTTCTTTTGTTTTATATTTTAAAAGATTTTCTCTTAATTCCTGTCCTACCTCATTTTTTATATTAGTCAAGGAATCTTGATTGTACCCTTTTTCAACTAATTGCTTAATTAAAACTCTTGTTTGTTCCTCATACTGTACCGATTCCGTACAATTGCGTTTTATTCTTAAAAACTGACCTTTAGGTATATTGGTTAACCAAGGTTTAAAATGGCAACTCTTTAAATTAATAAAACTATTGACATCTACAGTTTTAAAAAAGGTTTTACTTTTAATCTTATTTTCTTCTATATAAATACTTAGATCTAAAAAATTAACAATTTTAGTACTGATCTCCCAAGTTAGATTAATATTCCAGATGTTCTTGTTCAAATCATTTAAAAAGCTTTTTAAAGTTTCTTGTGTCCCTTTCCATATTAAAAAGATATCATCTATGTACCTTTTATAGAGGACCAGACTTGTCCCGAGCTCTGGCTTGGAGAAAATCTCAGATTCCTCCCAATACGCCATAAACAGATTAGCATAGCTCGGGGCAAATCTGGTCCCCATAGCTGTTCCTTTGGTTTGTAAATAAAAATTCTTCTCAAACCAAAATAAATTATTAAAAAGAATCAATTGGATACCCTCTATAATAAAATCAATCTGCTCCAGGTTCAAATCTGTATCCTTTTTTAAAAAATGTCTAGCAGCCTCACACCCCTTCTCATGTTCAATAATGGTGTAGAGGCTGCTGACATCACAGGTCACCATAATCAAACCTTCTTCCCAATTAAAACCATTTAAAATTTGTAAAAGTGACATAGTATCCTTTAAATACGAAGGGCATCTTTTTACCGGATCCTGTAAAAATTGGTCTAAAAACTGCGATAAAGGTGATAATAGAGAGCCAATTCCCGACACGATTGGTCTCCCGGGGGGATTTTCTATATTTTTATGTACCTTTGGTAAAACATATAAAACCGGAATTCGAGGGAATTTTACATTCAGAAAATCATATTCTTTTTTATTTAATATCCCTAGTTCTAACCCTTGATTTATAAATCTATTCAATTTTTTCTTTATATCCTCTAAAGGATTTTTCTGTAATAACAAATATGTTTCCTGATCTTGTAATTGTTCAAAAATTACTTTAAGGTATTGTTCCTTTTTCCATATAACAACACCCCCTCCCTTATCAGCAGGTTTGATAACAATCGAGGAATTTTTCTTTAAATCTTGTAATGCTTTCCTTTCACTTTTAGTTAAATTATTTTTCTGTTCTTTAACAGGTTTAATTTTCCTCATTTCTCTAGTAAAAACCTTTTCAAAAATTTTCATAGCATCTGATCTTAGATAGCTAGGATAAAAATTAGATTTATTCTTAAGAGTCGTATGTTTAAATTTATTATCCTCCTCCATTTTATCTTTTGTCACATCACTATATAGGGTATCCAATTGATTCTTTTTAATAATTTCTTTTGGTTTGAGAAGAATTTTTATTTACAAACCAAAGGAACAGCTATGGGGACCAGATTTGCCCCGAGCTATGCTAATCTGTTTATGGCGTATTGGGAGGAATCTGAGATTTTCTCCAAGCCAGAGCTCGGGACAAGTCTGGTCCTCTATAAAAGGTACATAGATGATATCTTTTTAATATGGAAAGGGACACAAGAAACTTTAAAAAGCTTTTTAAATGATTTGAACAAGAACATTTGGAATATTAATCTAACTTGGGAGATCAGTACTAAAATTGTTAATTTTTTAGATCTAAGTATTTATATAGAAGAAAATAAGATTAAAAGTAAAACCTTTTTTAAAACTGTAGATGTCAATAGTTTTATTAATTTAAAGAGTTGCCATTTTAAACCTTGGTTAACCAATATACCTAAAGGTCAGTTTTTAAGAATAAAACGCAATTGTACGGAATCGGTACAGTATGAGGAACAAACAAGAGTTTTAATTAAGCAATTAGTTGAAAAAGGGTACAATCAAGATTCCTTGACTAATATAAAAAATGAGGTAGGACAGGAATTAAGAGAAAATCTTTTAAAATATAAAACAAAAGAACAAAAAGAAGAAAATAAGATTGTACCGATTATTTTTAATTATAGCTCTCATAGCAACCAATTGCAAAAAATTATAAAGAGAAATTGGCATATTTTAGAGCAGGATCAAGATATTCATCCGTATTTGGGAACTCAACCAAAAATGATTTTTAGAGGTGCGAAAAACATTAAACAAGTTTTAACCTCAAGTTTTATAGATAAGGAAAAAAATCCACAAATCTCATCTATGTTTAAGAAAGAAAAAGGCTTCTACTATTGTGGAACATGTAGAGGCTGTACTGTAAGGAAAAATAAGAATAAAAATGTCACGAAGTTCACTTCTTTTCAAAATAAGATAATACATGAGATAAAATCCTTTATAACATGTAATTCAAAAAATGTGATTTATATGATATTTTGTCCCTGCGGTTTACAATATATTGGAAAAACGTCCAGATTACTAAAGATAAGAATCAGGGAACATATCTATAATATTAATAGGAAATTCACTCTACATAATGTTTCCAAGCATTTTTTGGAAGCTCATGGAGGAGATATTAATGGATTTGAATTCTTAGGAATAGAGGCTGTGAAGACACATTGGAGAGGGGGTGATATAGAAAATTTACTTAGCAAAAGTGAGATGAAATGGATTTTTAATATGGAATCATTATCCCCAAATGGTTTGAATGTTGATTTTGAGATAAATTCATGCATATAGCTTTTTATGTAATTTTATTCAGTAATTTGGATTTGTAAAATAATTTTAAAAAACAATTTTTATTTTGTTTTTTAATATATATGGGTCACTAATTTATCAATTTTTTAAGATTATCTTTTAAGTTTATTTATCCCTCTCTTTTTTAGCAGGTTGGGGATGCCTCCTTTTAGATTTACTATGATAGGGTCAATTTTTAATTAATTTTCTGTTTTTTTGTTATGTTTTATTATCTGTTTTATCGATATGTAGGGTATATATATATTGATGCACAAGAGACTATTATTATGTTTAGAACGGACTTTAAAATGGTATTAATAGCATTTCCGGTTTCGGCAATCGGAAAATATGAAGTTGCTAGCCAAAACCAGAAGTATATATACAGGAATATGTAAGAGACTGGCATGATAAGTGAAAAGGACTTTCCAAAATGGCGCCGATAATACTTCCGGTTTCGGCAACCGGAAAACGTCACGACGTCAATGACGCAAATGAAAACAGCGGGCCGAAGACGCAGAGTGATGACGAATGCGGAAGTTAAAGGGGAACGCCCGAAAAAAAGGCGCCGAAATTCGAAATATAAGGAAGAAGATGGAGATGATGAAATTAGACCACTTGAGAAAGGCTGATATCGCCGAAACGCGTTGTGGTAATTTGTACAGGACATTTTACTTGTATCTATTATACAAAGTTATTTTTTAACAATAAAATCAGTTTGGATTGGATCTTGCCTTTTGGAGTGATTCTAGAGGAGCACTTCCAGTGCGGATTCGTTGAAATTGATACAAGACGTCCAGAATTGAATAATTTTCATCTCCATACAAGCCTGAAGTCTGAGTCAGCTTTTAAGTGACTCAGTAATATGTGAGTTTAACCAGTCACATGTAAATATTGACATACATTTTAAACAATATTACTCTATGTTTTTATGTTTTATGTTTTTTAGAATTTTTCATCTGAAAAAGGTCTGGTAAAATATTGAATTTTGCATGCATTGAGTGCTCTCACCACAATTTGATTATTTCCAGCACAATAATGCTCATTGCCTAAAAGCAATGGGGACCCTGGAACCTTCACCAGCATCTGAGTCGGTAAGTTGGGACGTGGCAATGTTAGGAGTTGTGATGCAATAGATATAGAGATGGCTAGCCCGGGATTGGTAGCCAACTTGGGACCACCAGCTACGTACCATGTAGAGTAGAGATAAAATGGGCGACCACACCGTGACTGGCCTTGTGGTTTGCTGATATTAGTCAGTGTAGGATCAATGAATATATTTGTGTAATGCTATCATATCTAGAAAAATAAGTATCCAAGCTTTGCATAAGGTGAAACGCGTTAGTGGTTTTATTATAATCCTTAATTGTTTTACAGTTATTAATAGTTCCTTTTGATTTTTGCTCCTGGATACTTATTTTTCTGTTCCTGGTTACCTTCTCATCTGTAATACACCTCTCCTGGTAATATTCATAGTGGTGATTTGTTCCACTAACGCGCTAAGGATTGAACAATATCATCAGATTGCTCTGGGAAAAGTGAGTAACATCCATTTCTTTCCCTTCACAGTTTCATTTATAGAGAGCACTATGTTTTGTACTTTTATTTACATAAAAGTTCCTGCTTACTACCCCCGATTGGGATATTATTTACTTGTCCAGTGAAGGCCTTACATTCCATAGAAGAGGACATACATATATCCTCAAGTGCAGAGGCGTAACTAGAAACCACAGACACCCAGTGCGAAAATTGCAGTGGCCCCCCCCCATACATCTTCCATCCCCCCTGCCCCTCCATTTGTATAATATGACACATACAGACACACAGATACAGACATTCACACACACACACACACACACACACATGCAGATGCAGATACACACACATACAGACACACAGATATATAGACACACAGATATACAGATGCAGACATTCACACACAGACACACACATATACACACACACATGCAGCCACACAGATACAGACATTCACACACACACCCAAACTGTTCAAATTTTTAGGTGCTTCCTACCTTGAAGGAGTGTAACTTCCCTGGGGTCCAGTGGCTGTCTAATGCTGATGGGAGTCAGAGCTTCCACTCTAGTAGAGACTGGATACCGCACTCACCAGGTAACCCAGGTGCTCTGAAACCAAGGCTAGCCAGGCCGCCCTTCTAAAATATGCAGATTAAATAACGGCTCAGGCACTCCAGGATAACAAAAAAAATAGCAGCTTTATTGGTGCAAAAACAACAACGTTTTGACCCTACAGGGTCTTTATCAAGCTTGATAAAGAACCAGTAGAGTCAAAACATTGTAATTTTTGCACCAATAAAGCTGCTATTTTTTGTTATCCAGAAGTGCCTAAACTGTTATTTATTCAGAGCTCCCACTCTGACTCCCTTCTCTCCTTTCCCTTCATTCTCCTCCCGCACGGCTCAGTGTATGCTGGGAGAAAGTAACGGCCTCCTTCCAGCGGTGCTCTGACGTCATCAATGAGGCCCAGTCATTCTCTTGAAGTTCCTCAGCGCAGACCGGGTCCCAGGAAATCCATTGCCATTGGGTGGCCCCATTGCAACCCTGGTGGTTGCTCCTTGTGGCCGGGACTGCACCACAATGCCAGCAGGCACCCTGACCACAGTAGTTCTGCCACTGCATAAGTGAGAATTGTTCCACCCAGGCACAGAATCTCGGAGCTGGTGTAAAGCTTTATTGAATGTAAGTGGCTCTCCACATATTTTTGTGTCCCTAAACAGAGAGACACTCCACCATTGAATTGTCGTTTGTTTCTTTTTGTCTTTCAGATACATCTACTAGAAGCGCAACCATTCACCTACTGTGAACTATTAATAACCTCTCAATGCTTTTCCATGGGAAAGCATTGGATTGGCTGAGATCATCAAAATTGGTAGGGCCAGGGGAGGCCAGCCACAGCAAGACCAGTGTGGTGTGGGAGAAAAGGTGGGTTTGTATTCCTGACACTATAGTGCTCCTTTAACCCCTTAAGGACACATGACGGAAATATTCCGTCATGATTCCCTTTTATTCCAGAAGTTGTGTCCTTCAGGGGTTAAATATATTGATTATTGTTTTAATATGTTTAAATGTGGATTTTAGTGCTGTGAGATCCTGCAACAATCGCAACAAGCTCACACACATACACACCAAATGTTTAAATCTCCTAGAAATTAAAAGGGACACTATAGTCGCCAGAACAACTACAGCGTAATGTAGTTGTTCTGATGAGTATAATCAGTCCCTACAGGTCTTTTGCTGTAAACACTGTCTCTTCATAGAAAAGGCTCTCTAGGGACATCTCCAGTTGCAGTCACTCACACAGCCATTAGAGGTGCTTCCAGGGGCAGTGCTGCACAATGTGTGTGCATGAAGACACTAAACTTTCCCCATAGAGATGCATTGATTCAATGTATCTATAAGAGGAGATTCTGATTGCCCCCCTCCCCTCCACCACCACCACATTGGCTGAAATAATCAGAATTTCCCAAAGAAAAACATTGGATTGGCTAAGATCGTCAATTGTGATGATCTTAACTAAGGAGGTGGATTGGAGGTGGAGCCCGTGCAGCACTGGAATAAAGATAGTGTTTTTAACCCAATAGAATTTCCCAAAGGAAAACATTGGATTGGCTAAGATCGTCAATTGTGATGATCTTAACTAAGGAGGTGGATTGGAGGTGGAGCCCGTGCAGCACTGGAATAAAGATAGTGTTTTTAACCCAATAGTGTTCCTTCAGGAACATTAACACAGAAAAGATGGACTTGGCTCCAAAATACAAACTGTTCCTTGTAAGGTAGGAAACATGGAATATGCTAAAATTCGGTGACATTTTCATTAAAAGGGCTTAACAAAAAGGAGAATTAAAAATGGCCTCTTTAAAAACCTTTACCACACTCCTGTTCATTAGTGATGCGTCCTAGATTCTCACCGTGCTGAGAGCCATGAGGCATGCTAGATGATACACAGTTCAACACTCTTCCAAACTAACTGCACAGGTGCATGGTCTGACCGAAATGCCACCAACACTAACATACTATTTAAAGGACAATAATGCACTGTGTATGATTTTTGCAGTTGTGTTAGTCCTAATGCACCATGCATGCATAATCTGTTTACTGTATATACCCGTCTTTTTTTATACTTTGTCATAATTGAAAAAACACTAATAGAAACAGAATGATTAAAAGAAAATATTTACCAATCATTCATCTTGTTCGTGCTATACATAAAAATAACACATGGAATTAAAATAGTGCATAGGTGAGCAACTACATTCAATGAACAGAAGATATAATGTGTAGGGATGAGATGTCTAAATTGGATTTGTTTGAAATGCACAGGTTTGTTTCATATTCTCATTTCACATGGTATTATGAACTTTGGCCACTAGAGGGTGCAACTCAACCTCTTTTTATTCATAGTACATCACTGTACAATTAGTTAACTAAGCAAAAAACAATATAACAATAATGAAAAAAAAATGTCTTTGTTTATAGATGAACAATTACATCTAGGTCAGTTTATTAACTTTTAAACCCAATATAATTAATACACATTTTTTTACTTTTGTTTTGCAAAGCAATATAAGTCCTTGACCAGACCACCAAACTGGTACTTAAAATCTGATATACCATAAATCTGCAGGTTTGCAAATTATAGCAATTAGGTAGTTGTGTAAATTATGCTCCATGTGGAGCCCTTCTAGTTAAAAGTCACCATCCACAGGAGGGCCCTCCTCTGGCTCGATGCCTAAAAATTATTTATATGTTTGCTAACGATCATTATTATCTTATAACCTTTGCACAAGATGATACCAGACTCAGGCAACTCTACAAACTGTAAAATCTCCAAACCTAAGATAGGTACCTCAGAGGGAGGGAGAGATGCAATTGTGCGCTTTCAACAAGGCACGCATAGCGGCAGTGCGCAACAAAACCCCCCTACACTTTGAAGGACATAACCTGACTTTTTACCCTGACATATCCAAAGCCACCATGGATTGGAGAAGGTCCCTGAGACCATTAACTACAGAGCTCCTTACCCTACCGTTGGGGCTCACCCAGAAGCCTGCTCATACCCAGGGAGACTGGCAACCTCAAAGTACGAGAAGCGGCTGAGATCCCAGCAACACTGCAGAAACTGGCGCTGGGGGAGCAAACACCTGAACAAGATACAATTGACCCATAGATGACACCCACGGCCTGGAAAACAGCTACAGCACACCCGTTCATACCGGCAGCCCAATGAGGAGAAACAGCATCCACTTTGGTGCCCTGAACTTTCCTGTAAATAATCAACATTCCCATGACTGTTATATATAGCTCACAGTTCCATAATTTTTCCATGAGCATCGTTAAAGTTAAAGTTAATTTTGTTTTATAATTAAGTTCTACTTGCATAACCTCCTAGGGAAATACCCTTATACTGATCTGGTTCCACTTAAACACCCCCCCCCCCCACTCCACCATAGGAACAAACAGTACTTGCCATCTTACGAGCATACAGGGGGGCACAGGCCTCTTTCACTTACCCTCAGTCCACTGGACTTTAGCCAATTCCTTAGTAAAAGAGGCATCTAATGCACCCTGCCCTACACTTATCTATCGATCACTTACCTTCCAATACTCAGGCAGAAAATGCATTACAGTCACTTAACTATTCATTACTTCTTATATTACTATATATTTCAAAATGTGCCATATTATCAATGCTGACAATTGTTTATCCTGTTGATTGAATAACTTGCACTAGCTGTTGGGGCAATGCAAGCGTATTTGTACAGTTAATGCACAATGAAAATAAGGAATTATGAAATGTAAGTTAGTGTAAGTGTGCCCCCACTTCACCCACAAAGGAACCCTAGAATTGATAGGGGATGGCTGTTATTTAAGCTAGAAGCTTCATCTACAGAAAGCAAATATTGTACTATAACAACTTAACCCAAAAGAGAAACAGTCATGTCAAGCTTTAAGTAGGTGGGGTACAGCCTAACCCAAACATAATGATGTAACCCTAGTAGTCAATAAGATGCATGAAAGTAAAAGGGCAAGCCCTAGCTAAATGTGGGGGGAAACAAAGTGAGGGCAAGGGAAGGGAAACTGCTAAAATGAAACAAAGTAAATAGCATTTATTAAGTTTAGCACATATAACTGTTAATAATGCAAAATTACAGTGAAAAAGTAGATAAACAAGTCTAAGCTGCTATATACTAGCAAAATGACAGACTCATAACATAATGAGTGGAAAAGTCTCGAAAGGAAAGGCTCATTGGATGGGTGTTCAAAAATATATACATAAGTTAAGAATTCATATGAATGTTATGTCCAAGAAAGTCTACAATAATAGGTGAAGTTGTGTAACGAAATACGCCCACTGACTAGATCTTAAAAGGCTAAGTAGAAGAGAGAGGGTAAGTATAGAGATATATGGTGATCCATAGAGAAAGGTCCAAATACTCACTTAGGCTCATTTAAACATGAGCCTCTTCTACAAATAGATGAAGGGGCCTATCTTGCATATAAATTAGCAATTGCCCTATGACTACCTTGAGCACATGGTAGAAAAAGCATTTGCCTACATTACCATTAAGAATAGAGTTCTCACGAGGAGTAGACAAAGAAAGAATTTAAAAAGTGATACAGTGTTTCGTGCTACCCATAAAGTGAAATGTTTACAGACTCACAACACAAAAAAACCCACATAATGGCTTTGTGTGTTGTGAGTCTGTTCAAATAAACCCACTATACATGTATATATACACACAGGTGATACTCGAAAAATTAGAATATCGTGCAAAAGTTTTTTGGGGGGGTTTTGATGAGCTGTAAGCCATTATCATCACACTTATGACAAATCACGGCTTGAACTATCTTGCTTTACATGTAATGCGTCTATCTCATATATTAGTTTCCCCTTATACGTTGCATTACTGAAATAAATGAACTTTTGCACGATATTCTAATTTTTCGAGTATCACCTGTATACACACACACATTAGGAATATGGGTCCAAGGCACTTTACAGCTGTACCCCACTGACAGCGGCCCTACTAACGGGAAAGGTGTTCCTACTGAGGAAAAATACAAGAGTTCTGATGTTTGCATTGTTACTATTAACGGATTCCTAAATGGAATATTTAGGTGACAGCTGGATTCTAAACTAATTTCAGATTTTATCACAGTGATAGATGCCAGTAGCCAATCGAATTGCATGATTTATAGAGTAGATTCCAACTTTCCACTATGCAGGAAACACAATATGGCTGTTCAAACACTCTGATAATTCTCTATGCCATATTTATTTATTTATTTATGTATTTAT